TTGCTGTGAGCTAGGCTGACGCCACGGCACTCTAGCCCGGGCAACAGAGTGAGACTCTGTCTCAAATAAATAAATAAATAAATAAATCTCATTCCTAGCCCCAAAAAAGATTCTGAGAGAATTACACCAAAAGACTATACTAGTTATAGTATAGGTAGTAGGATCAGGGGAGTTTATTTCCATTTGCTTATTTCTATTTTCATATTTGTTTCAAGGGGCATGTATTACTTGAATAATAAAAAACCCTGACATTTAAAAATGAACAAATGAAACTGGAGAAAGGTGCGTGAAAGAAACAAACCCTTTTACAAAGACTTAACTTTGACCTAAAACCTACCCAAATATTTAAGCTATAAAGAAAAGCAAAGATCAAAATTAACACAAAGAACTAGAATGGAGGGTTGAAATTTAAGGAAACTTCTTCACATAAACTGCAAACAGGAGATTGTTGATTGGCATCAAAGTGTCAAAACGTTCCTACTCGGTTCTTTCTAGAATATTTATTAAAATAATAATTCATGAAGTGAACCATATAATGAAATTCATGCCAACATTTTCTATTTTCCTTTGGACAAGTAAAATAGACATTTAGGTTGAATGTCTAAATAAAGCCCAGGACAAAGAACAATGAAAAATCCAGGCCGGACTCAAGCAATTCCAAATTTGCTTTTCACCTGTTCCTGCTGCTCATGTTCAAGGGAAAAGAACAGAGCAAGAAGTCCTATAGAACTGGTTTTAGCTTACAACCAGCCTAGCCACAATCTATAATTAGAAAGTAACCAAGTTTCCAAGCTAGAAAAAACTAACAAAGTCACTTGGAGCAGAAATTATTTTCTTTCACATTCTGATTACATGCAGTTCCATTCTGAGAAATGGTAAAATGTGCACCACTCCAATGCCCTGGCACCCACCTGCACTTGAAGCAAAGTAACACACAGACACACACACACACACACACACACACACACACACACACACACACACACGAGAGTCATTTCATTTTTCAGTGAGTACAGGAATTTGAGAGCCAGTTCTTGTCTGAGGTGCTTTTAGCCAACAGTTGGGCTGTTAGTCACAACACTCACGTCAAACTCCAAGAACCTTTAGGACAAAACTTTCTATAAATACGCCGCCCATATTTCATGTGGACAACTAACTGCCACTGGGCACTGGTGGGTGGAGTTTCATTTACTGATAGTCCCTGAATAAGAAAGAGGGAGGAGGAGAGGGAAGGGGGGAGGGGGGGAG